TATATATAATTTTTTAATTTTTGTATTGTTATAAAAAAAATTAAAAAAAAAAATTGTTTTCAAATAAAATGAAATTTTAAGGGATTTGTTATATGCACTATATTAGTAAGTTTGTAAAGAGCAAATGTTATAACTCAACATATTTATGATTTTTAATTTGTTATGATTCAAAAAATGTTATATAATCCAAAATATTAAGATCTAAAATTATATGATTCAAAATGTTATTATCTAAAAATACTATGAACAAAATTTGTTATTAACCAAAATCTATAATAAAAGACTTTATTTGGTCTGAAAATGATATGATTTTGATTCAAAAGACTTTATTGTGATTTTTAAGTTTTGATCTAAAATCTAAATCAAAATGGTATGATTCAAAATTTGTTATGATCCAAATTATTATAAACCCAAATTTGTTACAAGTTCTATATACAAAATTTAAACAAATATATATTTTTTGATTTTAAAAAAAAAATTAATGAAACTAATATTTCTTAAGATTAAATTTGAAAAATTCATAATAGATGATATATAACAATCCTATAAAATGATTTTATTTTTTTTGTAAAACAAAAATTTTCTTATCTTTATTTTTATAAAATAAAAAAAAATAGAGTCCTTTAAACAAAACGTATGTACCTTTAACAAAAAGATATTTGCTGTTTTTTTACAAAGTTGTTAAAATATAAGACGGAGAACTCCTTCATTTTCGTTTTTGAATTTGCGGGAAAAAATATATAATATCTTACAAAAACTAATATATTCTTAAAATTAAAATATAAATAATTGAAAACTTATTAAAATTTTATTTTTTTACAAGCATACTAGTATAATGAGCAGAAGTATCTCTTAAATTTATATGGTTTTTGGAGTTTTTTTGTTTTTATAAAAAGAAAAAGTATATATGTTTTTCTTCAAACTTTCATAACAATTGCTCATTTTATAGAAAATTAAATTTTAAGAATTTGATTTTTTTTCAGATTTCTTTTACAAAGAAAAAAAAAGTTATTGACAAAAAAAATTGGGAGAAAAAGTCACCAGATAGTCTGATTACACGTCAATTTGCAAAGGGTCTGAAGAGTCCCCTCTACAAATTAAATGGTCATATTTGGAAAAGTTTTATTTTTTGTAATTTTTTAAAATTTCTTTTGAACTTAAACAAATATATATATATATATATATATATATATATATATATATATATATATATATATATAATTAAAAAAAAAAAGTTATTCACATGTAACCTACAAAGAGGCCATTTATATGATGTTTAGAAGCTTGTGGTAACTAAAGGGAGGGATGAATGGATGATGTTCGCTGGCAGTTCCTCATAATTTTCAATCCATTCCGGAGCTATCCTTTTTGGCATACCATGCAAGCATGCACCCTCAAGGCAAAGTGCAAAATTTTGTCCATAGCCGCTCATTAATGCAAATAACAAACGTCAATACATTATATATCCCTTTCAAAAAGGAGCTGATATTGCCACTGTATTTTTTGATATTTCCACTGAAAAAAATATAAATTGCCAACTATGCCCCTATTTACTAAAGAGAGAGACATATCAATCTTTGTTTAGAAAACCCATGATCTTCGTTTGGTAGTTTCCGGGCGTGTTTTGCTAGGAGCGTTTGAGAGCTTTTAGCTTTTAGTTTTTGACAAAACGCTCCAGTTTGAACAAAAAGTTTCGTTTAGCAATACAAGCGTTTAGCTATTAATTTAAACAAAACGCTACAAATCTAAAAGCTACTTCATGTAGCGTTTAACAAAACGCTACTGAGCTTTTGAAATCAATTTTCATAATTGCCCTTAAAAATATACTTATATATTTATTTATTTTTAAATAATTGTCCTTTTATGTAATTTTACATGTTTCAAAAGCTTCTAGCTACTTTTGTCAAACACTAAAATAAAAAATAAAAGTTACAACTTCCAGCTATTAGCTATCCGCTTTCCGCTTCCAGCTAACAGTTATTTTTGTCAAACACGCCCTCCATAACACATAAATATGATGTGGGTGATCCATCATCTGTAAATGTAGAAATTCGTTGACCTCAATAGATACAGAATTTCCATATGGGTAAATACTCTTTAGTGTTTACCATTTGTAAGCCTCTTGAATGCACAAAAGATAGAGCAAAAAACATAGATGAATCGGAAACTCAAAAAAGGTTGATACTTTCTATGATGAATTGGTTATCCATCATAATCAAAGTTTAAGCTCATGAAAACAACGACGTCGCCAGCATCATTGAGAATGGTGATGGTGCTGAATAATCACACATGGCAACGAAATGAACAATATTGAATGCTACATGGGTGTTCGGGTTTGAAGTTCTATACCAGCATGAATCATGATGTTAATTAGTTTATTTTAAAATATTAAACCTTATGGGAATTACTAAAATCAGTCAAATGTGAGCATGCTTCAGTCGCCATTGGTTGTGAGCCTATGAGTGATGTACACTTACTTGTTCTTCTTTGTTTTGAGTGATATAAGGTGGCCTTCGAGATAGGATGCGTATTTGAAAATGGAAGGTGCAAAGGTTCATTTGTTTCTAATTCTTAATTCGTATGATACGCGTGGAAACTCCAAAAGACTATGCTTCTTCCTCTTTGCCTCTTTCAACCGATTAACACCATAGTTACATATAGTAGCCGGCAGTTGACCAGTGGCCATGGCTTGTAGCTGATTCATTTAAAGTTTTAAACAACTCCATTACCCTTATTAGAAGCTTTAGCTAACGGAGCCATGGTGGGTGATGGTTCTTTTTTTTAGCGCAACCTGCAGCGTTGAAGACAACAACACCAGAAGAACGACGATAGTTGTGAATACAAAGATGCTTTCAAAGATATAATTTATTTCATTAAAAAAATCTCTAAATAGCAATCATTTCCTGATGTGCGTTTTGTTAAACAAAAATAGGATTGCTTTCTTTTAATTAAATAGGGCGTAGTTGTCAATTCACATTTTATTTAAATGAATTTTATTTAAAAGTTGCAGTGGCAATATCACCTCCTTTTCAAAAATGATATTCGCTATCACATTTAATTTATTAACGCCTTACTGTTATTACTGAAAGATACTTGCCAGTTACCAACCTAGTGGCCAGTTTGGCAAATATGGCAACATGATAAAACTTGAAAAAACCAAAACTATTTGATCCTTCTATATGATCTATCTACCATACAATATACAGAGTGATAACACCAGCTAAAAACAGTTTAAACCGATTCTTTCCTTCTTTTTCGTATATAATATTCTCCTAATGTAGCTTTTATTATTTTTTCCACCTTTATCCTAGCAACATCTACAAAATAAATATACAAGGGTTTCACTATCCCCTCACCTAACATTACTCTGATGCAAACGATACACACACCCCCACCCTCTCTCCTTCCCTTTCTCAATCGTCACCAACAACACCTTCAACAACTCCCCCGCCTCCTCCTTCCCCGAACACTCCAAATTCGTCTGAAATAGCGGCAACGGCGTCGGCGGATTATACCACCGCTGCTTCCCACCACCACCACCACCACCACCCCGGTTCACATTCTGTCTCACCACCACATCCGAACTACTCCCGACTATATGCACCACCTCCTCATCAACATCCACATGAATCACACTGTCCAACCTTATCTCCGCTTCAATCACCCAATCGGGGTCCGCCGGGACGCCTTTGAACTCCGGTTTCCCCAAGTTTACCAGACTGGTGGAGGTGACGATCAGGATGAGTCGTTCGGTGATAATGACAAATTTGCCCCCTTGTTTTAAGGATTTGGATAGGACTAGGGTTTCGTCTTTTAGCATTAAGGTGTCGTCGGAAACGGAATTGGTGATTACTGAGATGCCGATGGACTCTTCCCATGAATAGGGTTTTAAGGGGTAGTTTGGGGATAATGGTCTTGGGAGACGGACTCGGAGGCGTTGGGATCCCATGTTGTAGAGTTTGCTTCGGTTTCTTATGCTGCGAGCAGTTTTTTCTGTTACTTCAAGAATGCTTGCAGCTGGCCTTGCCACTAGTCCGGTTACTCCCAGTGCTATACCTGAGAGGACTCCTGGAAGCCCATGTTTTTCAGCTCCTCTTATTGGTGATTGGAGAAGACCAGTCAGCCCTTCCAAAACTTCATTTATTACACCTTTGCCATGAGACGACATCCCCTTTTGTTGCCTTTCCATTTCTGATGCAGATGGGTCATCCATTGTAAATGCAACAATACCCTGAGAGCAAGTATCATGAAATCTTTTTTTTTTTTAACAAAATAATACAAAAAATAAAAATATGTATAGTATACCTTATGTGCTGCTCTACTGACTTGAGTGGCAGCATCACTTATGGCATAAACTGTATTACTAAGAAGACTAGTAGTTCCTTGTGCCATGCCTGTGATAAGTCCTGCTGGGCTCTGCAAAAGTAATTAATATATTTCAAAGGTGAATCAAAGCTTTTAAGGGTTTAAAGCAACATGTTAGATGTGACATGACAATGACATTACCTTCATGAAGCTCCTGGCTGGAACTGAGAGGAAATCTTTGATGCCAACTCCCACACTCCTTGCAAAACCCATGGGATTTCCTATTACACCAGCAGAACCAAAAACCTGAAGAAAAATAATCACATTTTAACGACATTGTAAAATAAAATTCAATTTCACATATAAAAATATCTAACCTTGTACATTTCATGAAGAAGTTGGCGAGTGTAATGTATGATCAAGATCTCTCGTATGGATTCCAAGCTAGCCAGCTGATGAGAAATTGTTAACCGCCTCAGATGAATTCTTGCTCCCTCCACATCAGCAAGAGCCATTAGACCTCTCTGCATGTATAAGTATTAAGTAATTAACTTTATTTTGAAAAATATCCAAATACTCATACTTACATGGATAAGAAATTCTCCTGATGTAAGTATTCCATTCCTTAGCATCCATGGACTGCTCGAAAAGCTGTAAAAACAAAAAAAGAAATCAGGCCCAACATATTTACACATATGCCTACTCTTCTCAGTAGGGAGTGAAATGAATCACCTTAGGGTCAAAGTGATGGGGGCCACTTCAAGCAGTTCAACGTATATTTTCTTCTGTTTTCTTGCAAGGAGATATATTTTCTGCCAAGGTGCACCAATTGGCACTATTGATGGTAATAAAGGGAAGCTTTCATTATCAACAAGATCCCCACCTTCTGCCTTTTCAGTCTCTGAAAATTTACCTGTTTTATTTACACTGAAGTTTGAGGAAAGAGGCAGCAGGACTGAATCCATATGTGGCATTCCTCTGCTATGGAACCTTGAGGATACTGCCTTAAAGAAATCAAACAGACTTAAAATCACATCTTGCTCAAGCTCAAGATGAAAATCTGTCATTCTAAAACAAAGGAAATTGTTAGTAATTAGTAATTCATAAACGATTAAGGGTATTTATTTACGTATTATAAACAGAATAATACCTTAAGTTTATATGCTCAAACGAAAGCAAAGCTCTATCTTTATTCCTCCATTTTGCTGCAGCCAATGAGAACACAGGCTCACATGAAGCATCTTTACTTTTGTTCGGAGAGGTTGCCATTTGTTTATACTCATGATCAAAAGATAATATAACAGGGTAAGGTGTGGTTGGTAGTTGGTTATCAATCTGTAAACCGAAAATTTTTAAGGAAAACTTTTGTTGATCCAAACTTTGAACTAGATCAATGCTTGTGTTCCTTGCACATGCAAAAAGCAACTCCTACAAATGGGGAAATTTTATAAGAACAGTGAAAATGACATACATGATGCAGTAATGACATACCCTTAAATTTGTTTATCAAGTAATGGTACCTGTGGTTGAGAGCTCATAACAGAAATTCCAATGAAGGGAATGGAAACTGATAATCTTTCTTTGTAAAGAACAGAACTTTCTTGCTTTTGGTCATATTCTCTTTTATCAGTTAACCGAGGAGAATGTGAGATTTTTATATCATCAAAGATATGATAACTGGAATCAATGATGCTGAGGACCTGTATGATAAGGAGCACTTAGAAAAAGAATAAAGTGATAAATAGGAATGGCTGCATCTGAAATACAACAATTATACCTTCAATGCTCCTTCAGCATGGACAGATATTAGCAACCTTCTTTCAGGCTTCTGCCAAAAGGAATCATGAAACAATGGTTACTACGGATTTTACCCCATGTAGATATTTTTGTATAAGTTACAAATTTACCTCAGAAGTTGAAGGTAAAACCACAGGTTTGTACTCTTTGGCATCATCAAGAGTATAAGACCCAACTACCCTCTCAGCAAACACCTTGGAGATTAAAACATATGAGTACTTAATCAATAATTACAAAATATATGACTTGTAAATGGAATGCATACCTCAACAGTTAGACGATGTGGGTAAGAAGGTTCATCCCATGCATAAGGGCAAGATGTGTACGAATGTATAACAGTCTCAAACGCTTCACATTTTTGTTGATAAATACGTAGTCTCTGCAACATGTCAACAAAATTTAATCATTAATCATTAATCATGATGTACAACTGTTTCAAAACATAGGGAAAGAAATCAAGAATATGCACTAACTAACTAACCTCCTTTGAGAAATTATCAATCCTGTAAGGCATAAATCCCGTATCATCATCGGATAAAAGAATCAAATTCGTCCCAGAATCGCCATGTGGATTCCCAACAATCTTGTCATCTCTGATTGCATCGTCAGCATTTTGGACCTCTACACGTACCATACTTACAGCACCAGTAACATAGTTTCTCATTTTCAACTGTGTATCACCTAAATGTTCTGGAAAAAAACATCCTGACCACTGCCATCCAGGCTCATCAAAACGAGCAGACACCAGTAATTCCCTGTTTTATGTTATAAGTACATATAAGTGAACTGTGGTAACAAAAAGTTTATAATTAAAAAAAAAACGAACAATGTACCTTGTTATGTCTGTCCAATGAATATGAGAATGCTGTCCCACCTTCAAATGGTATATAAAGTCGGACCCTTTCTGCCTATAGCACAAGTCCTTACTGCATGCATTACTAATAACATATCTAGGCTGGAAATTGATAATCCTTGTTCTTCCAGAATATGGCCCAGAAATAGCACTAGATGCAACAGATATTACATATGAAGCATTGGTTGATGATCGGGGGACAAGGACTGTAGTAGAACCGGTTGGTGGGACAAGGAAGAATTGACTAGACCATGTGTAGTTTGAGGTGCTTGCCACATCAGATTCGGAGTGGGACCGACTAACTCTGACCATGATCTCACTCGAAGCAATACTAGGGTCAGGAGAATACATGCGAAAGTTGACTTTTTTGCGACTTGTTTCATCAAAGTCAATCTTTTGACTGTTTGGAACTAAGCTTTTTTCCTGATCATACAAAGATGGTTTTTGTGTGCCGATATTCTTCTTGTTTGATCCAGATGAACCAAAAGATTCCTTTCTAGTGGAAACAAGGTTATTGTTTAGGGGAAACCTCATAGTCATACCATCATTGTTTAAGATTTGGTTTGAAGACAAAAGGCCCAAACCATCTTTTTTCCCCAAAAACGGGTCCTCTTCATCTAAATCATAACAGGAAGGCAAAGTGTCACGTGTTGTCAGATCATTAGTTGAGTTTGCAATCATGAGGGGAAAGCCACAGCAGTTGTACAATAAGAATGGAACAAATATGCAGATTTCACGAGCCCCAGAGAAAGCATCCATCACCTTTTCCATTGTCACATATAATGGACCTAAACAAAGACACATCAGCTTTTGTGAGTGTGAGTGTGTGTGATAGAGATGAGAAGAAAAAAAGTGTGATCCACCTTTAGAAATGTCAGCAGTGAAGTTAATGGATTCTGAAGAAGAAAACTTTGTTCCGCTAAATTTAGCAATTTCACTGAACTTTTCTGCACGTGGGAACTTCAGAACAGATGGTCTAAACCCGCGTATATCAAAAGTTAATGAAAGATCATGTGAAGAATCAATATGATAAAAACAAGTTTCAACCTGAGCAGATGTTAAGAAACTATAAGTCATGATGAAATGATATCGACATTATGAAAATGAGGAAGTGTATAATAAGATACCAACCTCTGAAAGCAGCATGCTACGTGAAACTCCAACACTTTCAATCATCACAGATACTTCAACTGGTAAATAGTTTTTCACTATTAAAGGATTACTTAATGTAATCAGGTGAATACACCTCTTATTTGACAGATCCTGATTCTCTATCTTGTCAGCAATAGCATCATGAATATATAAATTTGATCCCTTTTTTACCCTCCCAGCAGAAGGCAAACACACATCATGCACAGACACACAACAACGAAAAGGATCACTACTTGGAAGAGAAGGGTAGCAGACAAATGAACGCAAATGTCCAATCTTACTTTCATTAGAAAGAATATTGGAAATGCTATAAGCTTCACTCCATAGGTAAGTGCTTCCTAATGGACGCCATCTTATCCTACCAGATTCTGCTAAATGTAGAGGAAGAGGAAACTCGTGCCCTGGATTTACAGGGTCCAGAATCTTGGGAGATACACCAAATGGGATATCAAATCTGACTTCAAATGGCATTGTTGTTGCATTTGTGAGTATGACCTGGCATCAAAAACCCTTTTAGAGAAAATAGAAACCATTAGAAGTGGAACTAAACATGGGTAAACAGTAGACTTACTGTTGAGTACAAGCGGACTAACTTTGTGTATCGTTGAACTGAAACATCAATCACTACAGGAACAACATAGCCACTATTGACACTTTTAGAAATATCCCTGGAATTGTCAACTGAATTGGAAAAATCCACCTCAAAGAAGCTAACACCAACAAGATCGATAGAAACAGGAGTTGACAAAGTGGAAGTTCCTTCAAGCTGAATAACTATATAATGATGTTGTGCATCAGCAAATTTTTTGTCTCCTAGATTGTCAGTTGAATGGCTAGGTTTAAAGCCAAAGGTTTGTTCATCTGTATTATCATCAATGTACACTGGATATGAAGAACCAGGCTGCACGTATTTCCCATCTTTCAATATATTGAAACCATCAGCTTTTTTAGAGGCATTGGAAATGTAAAACACTAGAGGGAGTGAAGTTAAGTTTTCAAGTGTGTAAGGGGCGTATCTACTGGCTAGTGTATTTTCATTGGTGTGAGCTGTTGTTAATCTTGAGTTTTCAGGAAAAACATTCAGACTCATGAGATCCCAAGCATCCGTAATCATATCAAATGTTCTGAAAGCAACCTCAATGAAGGATTCGGTGACATTGATATTGAGATTCATTGTTGACTCGAGATGAACATCTGTCATGACTGGGCTGTTTTGAAGGGCGCTTTTTCCTTGCTCTCTTCTTAAGCTTACTTGGAACTTCCAGGGCTCAAGAAAAGGCTCCCACAAAACCTAGAGAACATAATCAAAATAAGTTATCATAATACCATCATTACATAAATTGCTAGAAAAAATACTTCACCAGTTCACCTTATGAATGTTATTGTAGTTCACTTGAAGCTCACTATCAACCGATCCTTCCATCACATTTGCAGTTATGATACCATGAAACAACAACCTTCCCATAAGAATCTCTAGTAGAGGACCATTGGAGCTCCACTAGATAATCAAAATCACAGATTAAACAAACATGAGTTATAGTTTTGAAAAATGGGAAAACAGTTTTACATATGGCAACATACCTTTTGATCTGTCAAAAGAATGGAAATCTTTTGCAAGTGAAATCTGAAATTTACACTGCCAACTGGAAGCTGAGAAGATCCAGAATCTTCTGGAAACACAAATAGCATAGTTTGCCAGAAGTAAAATGTGTGATGTGAAAGCCAAACATCTAGATTATCACAGTGAACCTCTGTCTTCAAATGCATGAGATCCATATCATCATTACCAACTTCAGCTTCTATATCAATTTCCAATAACTGAAAAAGGGGCCAAGAATGGACACTCTTGTTCTGAAATAGTTCAACTGTTCCCATTGCTTTTCCCAGATTGGACTTCAAATTTACTTTTTCACCATTGATGTTCGCCTCAGTGCACCTACTTTGCAAATAAATATATAGAAAACTTCCATGATCTCTTCCAACAAAGGAATTCTGCTCACGAACTTGAGGAGCCCCAAAATATTTAAATGCTTCTCCAGAAACCTGAACAGGAACACGGATTTTTATATCAATATGATCCGACTTCACAGTTAATGAAAACCAATCTTCTGGAGATAAATAACTGGAGACGCTGATAGATTGAGGTGAGTTTTCTGCAGTATCAACACGAGAAACCGGCTCTGAAATGGATTTTTCTGGTTCCTCATTCTGGATATCAGTTTTGGGAAGATTTTCACAGCAAGAATTGACAAGGTCAACAACTTGACTCCATTCAGACAAAAATAACCAAATGTTAACACAAGGAAGGGAGAACCGAAGATGATTTTCTCCTTCATCTGACATCAAGAGCTTCATGTTAAGAACTGGTACTTTTTTGGTACAAGATGTGCATTCCAGTAAGACAACAGAGGTAAGCATTGAAGAAAGTGTCACACAAGTGAATGATATATCAAGAGATAGAGGCTTGTCGTTTCTCAATGATACTGAACATGAGAATTTCATGTCAGTTTTGGCGATATGTTTGGTAGCATCCGATTGTATCTTGTCAGAGTAAAGTTCTACTGACATGGATTGAACAGAGCATCTGATTTCTGTAAAGCTCACACTTGAAGATTCAATAGGAACTGGAAGCACATGATTTTCTTTAAAACTCTCTTTTGAATTGAGAAACTCTGAAACATCAGAAGTAAAACACATGGATAGAGTTTCAACAGATGTGAACTGGTCGATGACAGCTAACAATGCTTCAAAGCAGCCAAGTATTTCACTTCCTGAAAAAAGAAAGACAACTGCATTAATCAAATATCAATTATGTACAAAATTCAGAGTGACATAAAAGATGATATTCTACCTTCAACAATAAATTGACATTTATTAACCCTTGACATGATACATGTTGCACAAGGAGAATCAGATCCATATGGTATTCTGATCCATATATCGCCACTAAAAGGAGCAATTATGCTGACACTTGTCACTTCAGAAGCATTGTCTTGCCAAAGAATATGATGTAGAGATAAATCCCTCCCAAATACATTTACACAATAATTATGATCTCCAATAAATCCAGGTGGAACAGAACACTCCAAAGGGATTTCTTTTAATAGAATGTCTGAATCACTATTCTCAATAAAAGTGAAGTACAGCTGAGGAATATTAAGCTTTAGAAACTGGTAATCAGCATTAGCCACAGGTGTAAACAAAACGGAGTCCAATATCTCAAACTTGTAAGTGAAAGGAAAGCTATCTGTGTCCTTGGAATTATCGATACCAGATGACTCTTTTGCATTCGAGTTCCAATCAGGCATTGAGAAGTAACCAATGAGTACAGCTAGAAATTCAGTTGGCAATATGCATGAAACATTCTGAATACTAAAATCTAGTTCCATTCCATGATTCCCTTTTCTCACTCGAATGTTGATAACTGGAGAAAGATTCAGTAAAGCAGGGCCCCACAGAGAGTCTAGTAGAGTCTGAGGAAACCATTGTGATGAAAGGCTCAACCCCTCAGTTGAACACAACACATCCAGACAGCTTTCATGGATAGAAATAGAAGATTTAGCAGTAGGAAGTGTAAAAGATGCAACAATGGATGAAGAGTCATGAAGGTGTAGTCTAATGCTTCTGAGATCAAGATTGATTACAACCAGATCAGGATTCTGGAATTCCTTTTTTGCCCTCGACTTTGAACAATTTATCTTACCCTCTCTTATCTTGACAACCTTCTTCCAGTCTGGATTGATGTTAATAAGTGAACTCTCGAGGCTAAGAAGAGATCTGTCATTGTGTATTGTAACAAAAGGGTAATGATCAACTGAAATGCTTTCCCAATCTGAAGAACAGGTGTCATAAAAATTGGAACAACCAACTCTTTGGAAGTCAAAATAAGAACCTGAGAGGACACTGTTACTGTTACTTCCCACAAATTCTTGATTTTTGTCATCATGTGAAGGACTATATTCAGGTAGCTTATCGAAAAATTCAATCAGCAATCCAATAATATGTGGATAGCAATGAAGATCAAGATCACTCAGCCATATGCTCAACTCACCATCATGATGTAACATGAGGCATCCATTAGGTGAAACATTAAGTTTCTCATCATGGCTTGGCCCATTAGTTGAAACATTTATAAGGTCCGTGTCATCATCATTTTTCAACAAACGAGACGTTACTTTTAAACCCTGTGTACATATCCAGAAAGATTGTGTGTGTTTCATAGTAATCAATCTCATATCCAAATCATGAAGAGAAACAGTTAATGTGCAACTAGCATCTAAGCCATTTTCAAGGTCAACAATGAGGCTAGCAGACTCCAAATTGACAATAACAGAGATACTGCTAAAGTTGTTTGGGTTATTTGAATCTGTATCAAACGATGAGGTTGCTGACGTGGCATCCAAGTGTGAAGCTTGATGGAGCATGTCGATGCTTTCAACTAGTTTCAAAACTGAACCAATTATTGATGGTGACATGTGTGCCAGAAATGGTGCCACCACTACATAAACCTGAAACCAATTATTCATGGTGACAAGTGTGCAAAAAATTTAACTTTTAGTAGGATAATATAAAATGTGAACTTCCAGAAAGGTTTACGTACCTCCATTGCTTTCAGTAATGATTCATCCTGGACAATGCACGATGCTAAAGCAGAAGAAGCATTGAGCTTCTCCAAGATAGGAAACGTATATGGATAGAAAGGTACAAACAAGTTTATCTGCAGGAAGTCGAACATCAGTTGTGTGAAATGTGAGATTTTGAGTGAAAATGAGAGAAGATGCTGACCTGGAAGTCGACTAATTTAATTTCCAAGAGATCATACAGATCTTGAATCCGAGTTCCTTCTAGAAGCTCACTTGAAGAATTGTCATCTATTAAATTCCTCATGAATTGAGATGGTACATTGATATCTGGTGCAAAACAGGCAACATCATGCTTGGATGAAAAGGTGACAGCTGTTAATCCAAGAACCTGCATGTTAAGGTTTGAAGTTAATACAAATAATGTGAAAATTGTATGACCATTTAAAAAGAAATTAATACCAATTTATGTATCTCTGACTTCCCATTCTCCCATGGAACAATTATCTTGATGTTTATTAAACTAATATCCCACATCATTCTCTTCCGACCTGACAACATGTATCTGCAAAACAAAAGAAGAGAAAATACATAGTTGAAGAGATGTTGTTAAATACAATGTTGCTACAAATTCCATTTCTAGACACTAAAGAAAATAATATTCCAGTAAGATCATAGGAGAAGACATACTCGGCTTTCGATAATAGACGTGACTTCATGTCTTTTATCCCATTAAGTGAGCTTAGGACCTGTCACATGAAACCAATGAAAGCTGTTACTCAAAAACCTCATAAGGAAAAGTAAGTTAATCTTTCATAATAAGCTTCAAGCCTTGAATTCATGTTAGTTGTATCAAAAAATTCTGTAGCACTTTTCCAGTCTATCTCATCTAATCATATAGAATCTTTGATCTGCATCTTCCAGAAGGTTCTTAAAAAAGAATGCATCTACTTTGAGACATGTAGCACTTAAAAAAGCATGCAAGTACTTCAAAACATGTAAACTAGAATAACACTGACCCTTCCTTCATGAGATTGAAAGGAAGCCAACACAGTATAAAGCTCCATGAAATTAACAAGATATGTTGGATCACACGTCATTTCAATCGGCTCAAGCAAGACCTAAAACAAAGTTAAGGGTCATTGTCATTATCAGAAGTTTATAGCACAAGATATTTTTTTTATTTAAAATGCAAGTTGGGTACCTTCAATGTCAAGTCACCCTCACGATTTGCTTGTGGTATGTAAGCTTGGATATTTAGAGATGGCTTCTCCACTTCAATGAAATTCTCCTCAGAGATGACCTGAAAGAAAATGGCAAATAGTCAAAAAAAAAAAAAAATCAAATAACTCAAGACTTCCCCAATAACAAGACATGCAATACATATGAAGACACAAACCCTTTTCACACGTAAAACGACTTGCTTGTTTAATGGATTAATCATCTCAACACCATTGATTGATGCAGTAACAACAGCAGATTCCTCCCAAATCATGCACTCCACAAGATTCTCCTCAAAAACCAGTTCACCAATAGCACAATCCAAATTCCTAGAAAAAAGAATAAAGTCTTAGAAACTACATTAGGTAAATATAACTAGATAATAATAGATTATACTTATTGCGCAGAGTTGCAGAAATTCGATGTATCGAGCATTTAATGGAGGACAAAAGAATTCTATCACTTCCAGCAGCATCAAGAACAGGGGAAGGTGCAGGATGAAACTTTGTTGCCTCATAAATGTCCTGTATCATATTATATAAAGATCAGGTAAAGTGAAATCATTTTGGATAAATAAGCTTAACAGTTAACACACGTACCTTAATTACTTCATCTGAAACAACACCAGAAAACTGGCTGGAATCATCTGTGCCTCCAGCACCCAACATACCACGGGAAAGCCACTTTAACCATCCTTGTGGTTTGCCAGATGTTTGGTCATCATCCATTGACTTGTCAATGGGAGTATTTGCTTCACTATTTCCAAAACCAGAAGCTGAATCCACCAAGAACTCCTACATGTTCATAGTCTTTAATAAAATGTATAAGTAAAAAGCACATGCAATAGATATTAACAACAATGATCATAATCATACCTGAAGCTCATGTTCAGCAGCAGACCTGTAACTCAAGATATCTTCTATATCAGATATTTTCTCCATTTGGTCCAACTCCAAAACAATTTCCTCATCCAGAGGCTGATCATAATTTATATACACCAAATAATGTTTAAATCATTTACACCATTTAATGTTTAAATCAAGAAAACTATATGTGTAATGACTAATGACCTCACCTGCTCTTTTCGAAGACATTCCAGTTTCAATTTGTACAACTTAACATATCGTCGTTTTCTGCCTCTGTAAAAGTAAAAGATTTTTAAGGGTTTAAGACTTCAAGCATTCCATGATGAAAATGCACACAGCAAATAGTATAGCATGGTAGATCATAGATGTTAATCTTGAATAAAGAACAACTTACAGACGTTCTCCTAAGTATTTCCATGAAGTTTTCTTCATTCTTTTACGAACATCAGATAACACAGAGTTTTGAGCATAATGCCACCATTGTATCTGCCATCCCAAAGGTCTTTCTGATATAGGTATCCCCCAAGGGCGATATCGTCCATATCTAAAAAACCAATGTCCCATCTTTCACAATCTGAAAGTGTAATTAAAAAAGGATAACACCAACATTCCACTTACTTCTCTCTTAGCTGACAGGTGCATAGATAATCATACAGATAGAGTATTTGCTGCAACTGATCTTCATCAAGGGACAAGACCTAAAAGTTGGTGACATGCTGACATGTCAGTTGAATGTTATGAAATCTGACATAATAAACTAAGAAATGATTAATTAGTTACTTATAATTACAAAAGTTAAGAAACTAACCAAGCCAGATAACTCGATATCAACCGAGTATTGTGCTGCATTATTCTCAAGCCTTCCAGACCTGTTCACCTGCAATGTAAAACAGTAAAAATCTATCTAATGTGCAAAGTACAACAGTAGAAATTTGTTATGAGATGATGCATACCGAAAGAGAAGCAGATACATCGACTGGGGACAACAAGTGAACATGTTCATCATTTTGAAAGCTTGCAGCAACCATTGGCATGGAGTCTTCACCACTGTTGGCATACAGATCTTCTGCAGATCCATGAAAGGTTTTACAGTATAGTTCCAAACCTTGTATCTCAACAAGTTTGTTTACTTGGCCAGCTCTCACCTTTCCACTTAATACCCTGAAAATATATTAAAGTATTATGTCTATTTTTCTTTGAAATATGATATATACAGCAATATGATTGTAGAGAAAGAAAGAGATACCCAACAAGATTTTGCTTCATTGCAGTCAAACTAGCCAACTTCAAACCAAATACAGTTTGTGCCTTGTCATTTGAAATATCTCTATATACAACATGGACATTCCTGATGGTGACTTGAATGCCATCAATAATCTGGAGAACAGATGGAAATAAATAAGTATCATCAGAACATTACACTTAAAATCAAACCTTATTTGCATATAAGTTTAAGAAAACTTGTATTACATGATAAGTAACCCTAACAAGAAACAGAAACACAGATGTATGTGTTTATGATTTTATCATGATTAAGAAGTTAAAGCAACATGGAATCTCACTACCTTTGCAGTAATGTATGACATAAATGATTTCCCAGTTTGATTATCATTATCTGCAGAACAAGAGAATATATTAGCACCAAATATCTGCAAATTTGATTAGACTTCTCTAGATACATGGATGCATATCATCCTAATGCACAATGAAAAACAGGAGTTACAACAATGTAACCTATAGGTGGACTTCAGTCACTCACCACACACACGTTGTGATAACTTTGCCAATTCTGCTGTAGCAAGTTTGGCCTTTTTTCCAGCAAATTCTCGTCTTTCAACATCATCAACACTCCACTACAAAAAGAATAGCTGTTTACATTAGCTTTTTTGTGGTAAAGAAGGCCAACTTTGCTGACCTGGCAGGGAAAACCCTGGGCCCATGCAATGTAAAGTTATCTAATATGATGGAGATGCACAATACTCATATCTTGATATGAGATATCACTTACCTCTTCATCCTCACGTTGAGAGGCACAAACTAATATATCCTCCAAAATTATTATAATAGGGTCCCACCCAAGCTTTTTCCAAGGAATTCTAATGCTTAGCCTCCCAACCCGACCTATCAAACACTCACAAATGTCAAATCATCACAGCCATAGCTCAAACATTAAAGAACCACATCCCAGAAATAACAAAGTAAAATAAGTATTGCAAGTTTAAGGTTGATATCGATCACCTTGCTTTAGAGCAAATGGAAGTTCTAGATAATCAAAAGCTTCTAGAATTAACTCCACATTTTCTAAGAATACTTCCTCTGCATTAAAGGGAGCGTAAAAAGTCAATAGAATAGATTGTGATCAAAAAGCTCGATATATACAAATGACATTATAGTATAAGAAATTCATTGCATATTGACATGATACGCCACAATATAGAAAGAGATGCTTTTAAAAATGTTCATGGAGGGAGACCAAGTTACAAATAAAAAAGAATGAGAAATGGGCATTAAAAAATATGAATGACGAATGGCATATTGGTGTCAACCATTAATGTGGTAACAATGGTATGAGTATTGAGCTTATGTTGTTATACCCTTCAAACTACATAAATGTAAATGAATAAAAAGTAAATATATTGTGCTGATAATAGTGAAAGTAGCAAGCCATTAATAACAAACTAAGTCAAAAAAAGGTCATGATAGACACTGGTGACTTACCATTCCACAGTGTGATCTTGAGTTGTTCTCTGTGTATATCTTTAATATATTGGCCAAGATAACCTAATATCAGCTGCCTTACTAAACCTTCAAACATTTCCTATACCAATTATCAACTCAGAACATAAATAGTCTGTAAAACTGCAATGTTAGTAAGCAGGGATAATTACTAGTAGAAAAATGATAACCATAGACGAAAATATAAATTACATATGATTGGCAAATTGAATTGGTAGTTAAACCATTATGATGATAACTGCGTCAATAAAAATCCAAAAATGCATCAACATCACAATAATGTATTACCTGAAGTCAGCAACCTCCGTGCCAAATTAGCATGGGGCTACTATATGATCAAATGACTGACATTTATGAGTTAACCTAAACAAAAAAAAAAAAAAATCAAAATCAGAAACGAAAACAAGGTGCTCTAAGTATATAATTCCCAAAAACCCTAACTGATAAATTACAGAGAGAAAATCGGGCTACAGAAAATAGTATCAACACATGACATGTAACAAAGAACTGTGTTTGCATCCGTGGTCAATACAGGTAAGAAGGCTATGTTAGAGGAAACGGCGGTGGTTGAACCATAAGAAGATGTGATTTAAGATGAAGAATTATACAAATAGAAAGAGGAAAAGAAGACAGAGAGAGAGGTGGTGATGTGTCTAAGTAGTGGATGTCGGAAGAAGGGCGGGACGGCGAAGGGAGAGAGAAGAGAGAGAAGATTACCGATTTGGGAGTCTGCCTTCGAAAAGACGAAGACGATGAAGAATTGGAGGGTTTCTTTTTCAAATTCTTCGAATGTGAAAACAGCACACGAGCAATGAGCTTGTGATTATAGACGTGACCAAGAAGCATCAGAATTGCCGATGCCAAAAACAGTTTAAAAAAGGGGGTTTAAAAGGGGGCGAATCGCGTTAGTAATTGTGACTTGGTACCTCTCCTTCTCTATCTTTCTCAGATAGATTTTGATCGGATTTAAGTTATTAATATTTTTTGACTTTTAACTTAAAAAAAAAAAAAAAAAAAAGTTAAAAATTACTAAAATTTGTTTGGTAAATTAAAAAGATTTTTTAATCAACTTTTAGTCGACAAGTAAAAGTTCCCGGAGAAAATATAAGAATTCTATTTTTTGTGACTTTTTAGCTTTTATCACTTAAAAGTCATAAAAAGCAAAGTCAAACACATTTTAAACACCATCTTTTAAAAAAAATTCTTTTACAAAAAGTCTTTTTATAAAAAGGACTTTTATGTTTAAAAAACAATCACAACACACCCTAAACTAATTGTGTTTAACAAAATTAATCCAAAAAAAACTATGCTTAAAAAAGCATTAACATATGTATCACTTGTTAAATTTATCCACCTTATTTTTTTTAATGACGATATAATTTATAAATACAAAAGTATATATATATATATATATATATATATATATATATATGACTTGGTACCTCTC